CCTCCCTCCCTCTCTCCCTCCCTCTCTCTCTCTCTCTCTCTCTCTCTCTCTCTCTTTTTGGTTTTTCGAGACAAGGTTTCTCTGTGTAGTTTTGTGCCTTTCCTGGAACTCGCTTTGGAGAGCAGGCTAGCCTCGAACTCACAGAGATCCACCTGCCTCTGCCTCCCAAGTACTGGAATTGAAGGTGTGCGCCACCACCACCCGGCATGTGTGCCTTCTCTTTAACTATATTGTTATTGCTCAAATCCAGACCCCAGTGTCTTTCAGCTGTCATAGTAGCTTCTTCTAAAAGTGTCATCCCTGTCATGACTGTTACTTTTTTCACTGGGCTGTTCATTTCCCTGACTATCAGAACGATTGTGTTAATTGGGCTCCGAAGTCACAGTGTTTCAACAAGATTGATTTATTTCCCTCTGGCCATGCAAAAGTAGTCTAGGACTAGGATGGCACTTCCTGATGATAGGGAGTCAGCCCTTTGCCCTGTTCACTTTGCTGTCCCTACTGTTCTTTCTTCTACATGGCCTAAGATATCTCTCTGCAGCATGCATTTGAGCTGCATGGGAGTGGTAAGAGAGAAGAGGAGGAGGCCATGCTTCTCTCCTTTAGGACCATGAACCAGAAACTGATGCGCCACTTTACTTCATGTGCCATTGATGTTCTGGACCCCACTACTGCTTCTCTATATTGAGTCACTCTCTAGCAAGAGCCAGTGCTCTCTGTTTCCCCCCAAATCTCTTCGTGGGTATCTTACGAGTACCTAGACTTAGTTGCAATCTGTCATAGTGGGAGTAATTACACTCTGAAAATGGGCATGTAGTACACGTTAGCCTTCTCCCTCTACTTCCAAATAAGTTGTTAGATATTTAATAGACCACCACTGATTAGTCTAGACCCTCCTCTAATGGCCAGTCGCTACCTCTGAGATTGGGAATCAATGTCTTTTGTAAACATAAATTCCTAGGAATTTCTATCCAATACTGTTTCTTAATAGGAAACTGTATCATTTTGGGTAGAAAGTTAGTTTTTTCTGTGAATTATCTCTTGTTTTGTTTATTATTAACATATCTTCACTGTATTATAGTCACACACACACACACACACACACACACACACACACAACATATATGTATATTTCAAGAATAGGCCAAGAGCTCTATGGATCAGGAATCTGATTAATAATTGTTTTGTTGTATCCTGCATATAACTTAGCACATAAGAGACACCTAATCAATACTTATTTATTATGTATTTGTATTTTATCTTAGATTTATTGTGTCTTTACATATGCATTACTGTAAGTCTTAAGATTGAGGGCTGTGTATCTCTGTGTCAATTAACTTACCTCTAAAAGGTCACCAGTAAATGATTACAGGGAAAGGTGGAATGTACTGTGTGCTAAGCACTCAGGGTACGCAGACATGGTTCCACCTGTTGGTATGGAAGGTATGGAAGGTATGGAAGGTAGGATGTAGTGATAGAGGGTGGAGTTGGTAGAGAGTGGCACGGAATCACCAGAAAAGGATTCATGAGGAGAAACTGAATTTGCACATTTGTATTGTTGTGAAGCACAGATCCTGAATAGGGGTCAGAGGCTCAGGGCGTTCCAGGCCCTGGCTTTTGTCCTGAAAATCTGATTTTTTTTTCTTTTTTCTTTCTTTCTTTTCTTTTTTTTTTTTTTTTTTTTTTTTTGTTTTTTGTTTTTTTTTTCGAAACAGGGTTTCTTGGTGTAGTTTTGGTCCCTGTCCTGGATCTCGCTCTGTAGACCAGGCTGGCCTCAAACTCACAGAAATCTGGCTGCCTCTGCCTCCCGAGTGCTGGGATTAAAGACGTGCGCCACCACTGCCCAGCCTGAAAATCTGATTTCATAGTAAAGGCTTTTTAAGTCCGCAGAGCTCGGATTACGGTCCTGGCTCCCCTACTTGCTATCTAACATTGAAAATATTTTGAGTTTTTTTGTTTTTGCTTTGTTATTTTACATAGGGCTGGCCTGAAGCTCATGATCCTCCTGCCTCACCTTCTTTGATGCTAGGATTACAGGTATGTGCTACTATGCTAAATAACCTTGAAAACAGCTCCCCCCCCCAATCCTCCACCCTCCCCCTCCTTTTCCTTCTCCTCCTCCCCAGTCCCCGTGCTGTGCATTGAAACTCACACTCATACATGCTAGGCAAGCGCTCCACCACTGAGCTTTTTATTCCCCCAGCCCAGATGTTTCCTAATGCTAGCTGGTTTACTAGGAATGTTCCAACCACTTTATCTCCGCGTACATTGTTCTCTCGCTTAGAATAATGCTTCCTACCCTCTCTTGTAATTGTGACACTTCTAAGACTTGATTCTTACTCTCCTCTCTTGACCACTTCACTCCTTCCCTTCATCTTTTTGAATTCCCTTCATAACACCATCTCAGCCTTTTCACAGAAGATACACATTTGGTGTCATTTCCTCAATATTTGATCTCTATAATTTTAACAATTATTTTATTATTTGTATGTATGTTTTGTTTCCCTAAATGTCTGCTGTGTGCCTGGTACCTCCAGAGGCCAGAAGAAGGCCTTGAACCTCCTAGAACTGAAGTTCCAGACAGCTGGGACTGCCTTGTGCATGCTGGGTATCAAACCCTGCTCCTGGAAGAGCAGACAGTGCTCTTAACCACTGAGCCATCTCTCCAGCCCCCTGATTTTTATATTTTGCAATGTTCTTTGAGGATGACAACAATAACCTATTTATCTTTGAACCCTGGTCTCTAGTAACGTTCTTTCATCAAATTAGCATTTGCTCTAATTTGCCCTTGCCCATGCTCCAGCGTAGTGAATTTGTTTCCATTGTTAATTTCCTGGGGGTATCTTTCAGTTCATACTCAAAGACAACAACCTTTTTCGGGCTGTAATTTGCCTCATTGTTATTATTTTTCTTAGTCGAGTCTTAATTTTCCTGCCTCCACCTCCTAAATGCTGATATTATTGTCAAACACCACTGTGCCTGATTTATGGAGTGCCATGGATCTAACTCCAGCTCCCAGGCAGACACTCTACCAGTGGAGCTACCTCCCCAGCCCTGAGCAAGCTCCCTGTTTGAGATCCTGTTTCTGAAAAGTCAGGCTACTTTGTCAGGTTCAGCTTTACCCTTTTGTCTTTTTAGTAATGGAGAAATTAGCAGCAGAAAAGTGGCTTTTAATGGCTCTGCTAAGTGTCTCAGGCAGGGCAGAGGCTGCTCTCGGATACTTCCTGAGAGGCAGTGTGGTACTTTGCAAGCCTGCTTCTCAGCTATAATAATCCTTGAACACGCCTCACAGATTTATCACAGTGAACGCTTTGTTAAATGTAGGAACCAGTTACTATAAACAACCAATGTCATTTAACAGAAATTTCTGAGTGATAGGAATAGTTTAAACTGAGTCATGTAATAGGGTGGACTACTAACCACATTTTATTTCCAAGAACTGGAGATATAACTGGTACAACTGAGGAACTGAATTTTAATCTTTTAATATCACATAAAAAATTAAAAGCCTTTTGTGGCATCTTTCTAGTCTTGAACCATACAGCTCTAAGCAAAGTCCTGTGGAGAAAGATTGATAGTATATTCTAGTGATAAGGAGAGAACGGAAGAGGCAGATATGACACTAAAGTTTTACCCACTGAATCTATAAAGTAATTAATGTTTAATAAGCTCTCTCGTCTGTCTCTTGTTTTAATTTTTTTAGCTCTCTGGGAAATAGCCTGTCACTCATTTTCAGTCCACAGAGCGCTACTTTAAGCACCGAATGGTATAACTGATATGTCAGGGACCCATTTCCTGTTTTCAGGACCCTGTTCAGTCTGGCTTCCACCTGTATTTGCAGAAGGCTTCGCCAGGCATGGCAGTGCATACTTGTCATCCAGGCGCTGGGGAAACTGAAGCAGGAGAATCACAAGTTGGGGATCAGCCTAGGCTACAGAAGTGACCTCGTCTCCAAAGCAAAACCAAACCAAATAAAACCTGTTAAGAATTTGATCCAGTGTCAATGTTTAGCCCTTGGTACCTGTTTGATTTCTCACTCTTAGGGTCCTCCTGCTCCCCAGCCTTCGCCTAAGCCCATCTCCTGGAGTAAGACTTCTGTGTCTCTCTGGCATCCTTTTAAACCTCTTATTATCTATCATTGCTCTCCTTGGCAGGTATGGTAATGTGCCCCCTATACTTGGTGTCTTCAGATATAAAATTCCTCTTCTCACTCCAATCCCAATTATAAATTTATTGGAACATATGAGAAACATTTCTACAGAAGTTCTGAATTTGAGCTCTCTTTGCAGGATGCCCTTAAACATCTCTGTATTCCAATTGTAGCTGTAATTTTAGTTTATCTGATTGGAAAAGAATTGCCTTATTCTTTTCAGTTTTTTCTATTTTTGATTCTTCAAATTTCTTTTATTTTATTTTCTTAATATTCCTGACTTTCCTTATTCTTCCACAGAATTTATAATAGAGCCCTTGAGTGGCATGGTGTTGAAAGATTAAAATTGATTGAAGAGTAAATTAGCCTTAACACAAGAACTCATTCATTCATTCAACATTTAATTATTAAGTGCCCATTTCATGTTATTTGCTAAGATTAGAGTAATTAAGTAAAATTAACAGCCAAGTGGAGGTGTAATGCGAATGCCTTAAATCTCAGCACTCAGGAGGCAGGCAGATCTCTGAGTTCAAGGCCAGCCTGGTCTACAGAGTGAGTTCCAGAACAGCTGGTGCTGCACAGAGAGACCCTGTCTCGAAAAACAAAAACCAATACAAACAAATAACTCAAACACAAATTCCTATCTGTGGATAGTGAAAATACTAGTTGGGAATTTACATTATTAACCCGTCTCTCACACAAGTGTTTTTGATGGTAATGTCTATTGCATCAGCAAGTGTAATGATATATGAATGCTACCTTTGATATGATTTATGTTGTAGAGATAAATTACTGTTATTAAAGTCTAAAGAGTCCTCTTTTTTTTATATCATTTCAAACAGAGCATCCTGAAGACGTAGCTCCCACTGTTGGCTTTTCTAAAATTGACCTTAGACAAGGAAAGTTTGAAGTTACCATCTTTGACTTGGGAGGTGGCAAAAGAATTCGGGGAATTTGGAAGAATTATTATGCTGAGTCCTATGGGGTAATATTTGTTGTGGATTCCAGTGATGAAGAAAGAATGGAAGAAACAAAAGAGACGATGTCAGAAGTGCTGAGACATCCGAGGATATCAGGAAAGCCTATACTGGTGTAAGTAATGGAGCATTAACAAGAGATGCTCGTCTTTTAACAGAATTTTAAGTTACCAAGGTGATCATCTATTAGTATATTAAATGTGTACAATTACCTGTCAGTTATAATGTCATATTACTTTTGGTAGGGATTAAAGAATGTAGCCTGTGTTATGAGCAAGCTTACTAATTGAATGCCTTGAAAAATCAAGTATGAACTCTCGTTTTATTTGATGGTCTGCTTTGTATTAAATTTTGCATTTTGAATGCAGTTTTAGGATATCTTTCATCCCCCTCCCCCCACCGCAGATATCACTTAGGCATACTAGGCAAATGCTCTGAGCGCTGTCATCCCTCCCTACACCCCCACTGCAGATATGGCTTAGGCATGCTAGGCAAATGCTCTGAGTGCTTTCATCCCCCCTCCCCTGCAGATATGGCTTAGGCATGCTAGGCAAATGCTCTGAGTGCTTTCATCCCCCCTCCCCTGCAGATATGACTTAGGCATGCTAGGCAAATGCTCTGAGTGTTTGCAACCACTGAGCTGCAACCTCAGCCCTTTTTCCAAACAAGATTTTGCCATGTAGCCTTGGTTGAACTTGAGCTCTTGATTCTCCTGCCTCAGCATCGTGAGTTGTGCCATCTAGCTTCCTCTCTTAATAATTTATATTTTGTCATTGTCCTTTCTTACTGGCTTCCTTTTGGGTTTTGTTTTCTGTCTAGCTCAGGCTGTTCTTGAGGTTGTTATGTAGCTAAGGATGACCTCAAATTTCAGATCCATCACCTCCACCTCCCCAGTGCTGGGATTACAGGTGTGAACCCCCTTGATCGAGCAAACCCACAGCCTTGTGCGAGCTAGGCAGGCCCTCTCCCAACCGACCGAGCTATCTCCCCCACGGCTGTTCTTTTCCCGGGAGTGCATTTTTTGAAATTTCCTTAAATGGGTCCCTCTCTAATGACACTTTAATTTCTCACTCTGAGCTTTCATATTTCCCCATTGCACATGTGATCTAGCTTCATTGTCTCAGTCATATGCTTACAGCATTTTGTCCTTAAGCTGGAACATTTGTAGAAGAAGGGACATTGGTCTTCCTCGCATTTGTGCACAGTGAGCGCCAGGTGGCGCTGTGACGTGAGAGAAGGCCAAGGAGAAGTCTTAGTTCAGATTGCTCCTCAGCGGGAAGTTACTGAGGATTTGCCCGTGTCTGTCTTTGCTTTGCCCTCATTCCTGTACTTCATTATTAAGGTATAAAAAAAAAACCAACCCGTCATGGTTGATTAATAAGAGGAGTAATGCAAGTGGAGTTTCTTCCCTGTGCGTCTCCATAGCAAATGGGGATTTTTAAACAAGACTATTTGAAACTTTGGTTATAAAAGTTGAAACTTTATTGGATCATTTATTGGTAAAGCTTACGTTTTTAAACTTTTAAGTGTTTGATTAAAGAAGTTACTTCCTCTATAGAATCATGTCTCACTTTTATTGAATGCGAAGTAAAATATTAATAGAAGTATATATGAAAGGTGACCTTGGTTGAGCCTTACAGGCTAACTTGGTCTTTGAAAATATTTAAACAGAGACTCACTGGTTTCTGAAGTAATATTAAAATGTTAGTCACTGTTTGTCATAAATGAGTAGTTCATGTCTTTTTAACTAAATAGCCATTTACTTTTCTTCATTTTTCTCTTGTGCATCTATGCATCTGTGCATATATTAATTCAACAAATATACTGAGTACCTGCTGTACTTCAAATTAATTATGCAAGGCACCATTTGATTTCCTATGAAATAAATTGAACTGGAAGTTTAATTCCATAACTAAATATATTGAAATTTTCCTCAGCCCCAGTTAGTAGCAATGTCCTAAGAAGACGGGTGCCATTGGTAGACTTACCCCTGTCTTTAAAGAGAAAATAAGTCACTCTGCCTGTCACCTTTTTGGAGTCCAGTTTAGTTGGACTTTCATCCAGAATGTCTCTTAAGCCACCAGCTAAAATCTCTTTTCAGGATAATAGGAATTCTACTTGTGTTAGTCCGGTTTAGCTATTGGAACAGTGGCATATCTTTTCCTAGAGGGACAAGTCTTTACTGAGCTCGAGACCCTCGAGACACTCGAGTCGTATCACCAGGATTTCTTAAACGTGGGTGTGACTGCCTTGACTTCATGCTCTTGGGTCCCCAGCTCACTGGCGTTAAAGGGGCCACTGTGGGAAGCCTTGCTGCTCCTGGAGCCTGCTGAGGCTGCCTGCACTGGGCTTGCGCTCCAGCCTCCTTCACCCCTGTGCTGCACTCTTCTTTCCCTATCACATTCTCTAAAACTAACAAAGAACATATACTTGACAGTGTTGCTAGGTGGGCATCAGCACGTTGCCAAGGACCTCCTGCTTCACCATTTTCATCCCAGACCTCCAGGATTTTGAGGGTGAGACCTTTGGAAGCAGACAGGCCTCAAGAGGTGCCCTTTCCTTTCCTCCTTGCCTCTCCCCTCCCTTTGTCTCTCTTCTTCCTCTTCCTTTCTTTGTTTCCTTGAGACAAGGTCTCATGCTGTAGCCCAGGCTGACTTGGAACTCCCAGCAACCTTCCAGCCCCAGATAGGGATTACAGGTATGCAAACACCACACAGTCCCGAAAGTGACTGATTCTGGCTGAGCCTCTATGGCTCTCCTTGTGAATGAGGATCTGCATGCCTGTGCCAGCCTGTGAATTATGAAAGCATGGCCTGCAAAGTGTTCCTACTGTTCTGTAAATGGATTTTTATATTATTGTTGATGACACAGTGCTTCAAAGTGTTACATGAATTCAAACCACTTACACCAATTTAGTGGTGTTAACATGCGCCCCAAAATAGTTAATTGTTCTTTTTTATTTAAATGTTATTTTTGTCTTCTGTTTCCAGCAGATTCCTAATATTGTTCCATCAACTCTTTCAAGAATTAGTTTTCTCTTTCAGATAGTTATATTAAGAAAAAAATTGGTGCTTATGCTTTGTATTAAGTGTGGAAATAAAATATACAGAATAGTTAACAACTGATTAAATATGTTGTGGTTGTTGCTTAGGTTAGGATAATACTGAGCAATTGAAGACATAGCCATAAGATATCATTTATCATAGCCATGGTATGGCATAAACCAAGGTGCAGATCAACACAGATGCAGATGCAGCATAGAGGAACAAAATCAAGTCATTTGTAAGCAAATGGAAGCAAGAAGGTGTCACCAAGTTAAGCAAACTTATCCAGAGACAGGAAGACAAGTGTCACATTTTTTTCCTCTTATATATAGAATTTGGAATCTAAGTGTGTGTAGGGAGCAACCTGAGAATAGAAAGCAACTACCAGAGAAGGGTTTGAGAGACACAAGAAGGTCGATATGATCAAGCACAACAATGCACATGTGGAAATGTCAGGTTGAACCCATTGATATGTATAATTCATATTAATATGATAAAAAGAATGTAGCAGTGAAATTGAATATTATTCACTGCTTTGCAATACATCTGTGCTTAATTCTTACTTTAAAAGCATGATAAAATACTAGCAGAAAGAACTTTTTACAAATCCATCTGGGCATAATTGAACTAATGCATATTAAACAGTACTTAATAGTCTTAGTTTTCGTGATAAATAATTTAAGAAAAGCTATAACCGAGTGTGCTTAAAACTCTAGATAAAAAATTTAAAAGGAACAGTGGAGGTAATAGCTGGAATTATCCAGTCAGCTGTTGAGTTTTTTTTTTTTTTTTTTTTTTTTTTTTTTTGGTTTTTCGAGACAGGGTTTCTCTGTATAGCTTTGCGCCTTTCCTGGAACTCACTTGGTAGCCCAGGCTGGCCTCGAACTCACAGAGATCCGCCTGCCTCTGCCTCCCGAGTGCTGGGATTAAAGGCGTGCGCCACCACCGCCCGGCAGCTGTTGAGTTTTACAGGAATCTGTTTTAGAATGCTCCTTTAAGCATTTTAAGCTAGGACATATGAAACATCCTTTCCAGGGTGATGCTTGGTAACTGACACAGTAGAAAGCAATTCAATGTATATTTTTAAACTAAAATTATTTCATAGTACTTATAATATGATGCAACATGACAATTGAATCCTTTCAAGTTCCCCAACTCCCTCAGCACATATTCCATGCATTGTAAAGGTGTGGAAGAGCCACCACCCTAAGCAGACAAGGATCCTCATGTTCTCTGCCAGCATTCAAGGTGCCGAGTGTTGCTAGGTGTCCTGGCTGAGATCACATTCAGGTTATCCCAGTACATCTCAGATGGGCCCTGGATGCCTCCTGGTTATCTCCTGCCACTTTTCAGGGTGTTGCATTCTTCCGTCTGACCTGATTGTTTCATTCATCCTCTTGCTCCCTTAACTCTGCTCTTCTCAGTTGATAATTTTGTCTTAGGGGTCTTTCAGGAAATAGAAATTGTCACACACGAATTCCCACCACTCTGGCCAACAGTTTAAACACATAGAGAACCCTATGGTGAGGAGTCAGTCCTGAAGAGATTTGGGGTGAAGGGACTTTAGGATACCTAATACAAGGAACGCAGAGCACTGTGCCCAAGGCAGTGACCCAGAGGAGCATTCCCTCCTGACATTGCAGAGAAGGAAAACTCTGCAGTAGCAAGGGTTGGCATCTGGGGCACAAATGAAGAGGCCTTGGGCTGGAGCAGAAACACAGCCTTCCATCCTGGAAGGAGGGGAGACAGCATTCAAATGAAAAGAGACAGTGGAGTAAATTCGGTGGTAGGACAGAGCACTCTTACAGACTCTGGATATTGGTTGGACTCGCACAGGAAATCAATTGGAAATTCACATGCTAACACAGAAGGTGGTAACAGAGGTTTATAAGAGGCTGTTCAGTTTGAGCAGACACTTAAAGGAAGGGTGATGAGGTGCCACAGGTCTTCAGGATGGCCTTGCTAGGCTGAGTCATCAGGGAAGGACTTTCTCAAAGGCAATTGTTTATTTTCTTCGAATGACAACCGTGGCAAATATTTACTGGAGAGAAATATTACTCCATAATAGCAATAGAAACAAAACTACCACAAAGATGACCATGTTGCTTTCGAAAATATGTAGGAAATGGTAAGAGTTTACCAATATTAAAAAAGATATAAATTAATGAAGAAGCATCATATTCTTGAGTATAGGAAGACTAAATATCTTTATGGTGTCTACCACCCACCCACCCACCAACGGTGACATTCAAGTAAACATGAAATTGGTGATAATAGACAGGTTTATTTCAGGCATACGAAACAAAGATTATAGAAACTCCTGCTCCATTACAGAAAGAGGACAGTACAGCTGGGCCACAGTGGGCAAAAACAGATAGTGAAGTAAAAGATGTTTAAAGAAAAAGAGCCGAACGGGCTCAGTGCTACATCCCTGTGTCATCCAAGCACTCCGGAGGCTGTCATGTCAGGAGGACCATCCCGAAGCTGAAGAGTGCTTAGGAATGCCTCTCCATTAATTGATACTTTTTGTTCTTTAGTGCTTGCTTTATCATAAAGTGATGTCACGTGTTCAAGAACACGATTGCCTTTACTTAGACTTTGTCAAGCCCTCCGGTCTGTATGTAATTCAGCTTTTTGTCCATTTCCAAGTTCACAGGAACAGCCTTACCACACCATAGGTCTTATGCTTGACTGTCACCAGGTAGGTTTTTCATCAAGTTGATGATTGAGTTTCCCCGGGACCTAATGATCACCAGGTTTATTCAACTCTCTGAGGATAGAGGCTTTTTTTTTTTTTTTTTTTTGCTTTTTCGAGACAGGGTTTCTCTATGTAGCTTTGCGCCTTTCCTGGAACTCACTTGGTAGTCCAGGTTGGCCTCGAACTCACAGAGATCCACCTGCCTCTGCCTCCCAAGTGCTGGGATTAAAGGCGTGCGCCACCACCGCCCGGCTGAGGATAGAGGCTTTATAGGCATTTAGTTTCATTTTGGTGCACTGTGACATGTTTTGAGGTCTTGTTTTATACAACTCTTAATTACCAAAATATTCTCAAGCCAGATTAATAGTTATCACTTAGTTGAATATTCATCTTAAGAGCATATAAATGCACAGTAGCACTCAATATTTTTCCAGAAACATAAGGCCTTTCATTTTTTATAGTTAACCTGGAGATGTTAAGTAAATGCTTGTTTCTGTCCCCGGCTTCAGCAGTTCTGTAATGTTAGTGGGTCAATGGTCAAGGGGAAAATGACCAGTTAGCCGTGATAGAATGCCCGTACCTGGACTCATGAAATGAAGACAACCAAAACGAGGCTGTGAAATGTGGAAACCTTCCCCCCAAGCCCTGAGGCGTTTCTAAAATAGCGTCTCTATTTGGAGCCGCCGCAGGGGCAGCAGCAGCAGCAGCACAGGGCCCTGCAGGGGTGCCTTCGCTTGTATTTTACAGCGAGTCCGAACTTCTCTTTGGTATTGATAACATACTCTTTTGTGCTGGTCACCATGACCTCAATGCTGTTGATGCTCTCTCCTTGTTCTTCTACCAGAAGAGAGATCTGCATGAACAGGTCCCTGAGGTCCTTCACTTGGTTCTCCAGATTCACAAGCTCCTTGTGTCTCTGTTCAATCTCCGAGAGCTGGGCTTTAGTGATACTGGTTTCTGTGAGTAAGCTTTCGTTAAACACTTCCCATTTTCCCTGATGAAGCATGTCGTTCACTTCTTCTTCAGACACTTCTTTTCCAGCCACTTCCAGCTGACGGACGATAAATGTCTTGCACTTCTCTTGCTTGGAAGCTATTGTGTCGTTGTATAGAAACATGGTTTGCTGAAAGTGGCGGAACATCGCGCCATACTGAGACTTAAGTATCCTTGTGACCACCGATGATGGACCATTTTCAACCTCTGACTTTTTTACTTCTTTGACTAAATCACCCAGCGCTCTGTTAATGTGTTCTGCTTGGGATTTGATCTCCTTTGCAATGGTAGAGTCCCGTTTAAGTAGGCTAAACCGTCTCATGGAAGCCACCAGACTTTTCTGTTGTTGTCCAAACTTTTGAACCTCATCAGCAAAGCTGTTGATAGTCTCTTGCAGTTTTTGGATCTCATGTAGGTGTCTCTCAGCTACAGGTTCTCGCTCATAAATAACAGCTTGCTGGACAAGCACACCTTGTTCCTCTGCTTCTCCAAACACCTGACTGTCCCGAGAGAGTTCGAGTTCGATTTCCTTGGTTTTCTGTTTTAATTCTTGAAGACGGTCTTTCATCATTCCTTTCCTCCTAAGAAATAAAAATAATGAAACTTTAACAAAGAAGAAGTTGCTATTTTCCCTGTTAGCAGTTGCACTGAGATAGCTCTGTGTCTCTTAGCAAAAATTCTAGTTTTCTAACAGGAAGTTTTAAAAATTGAGGATCAACATGGCATGATGGCTCTTGCCTATAATCCCTCTAGGGAAACTGAGGCAAATTCTAGGCTGTCCTAAGCTATAGATGGAATTTGAGGCCAACCTAAGCTATATAGTAACAGCTTAACTAAAAAAGAAAAGAAAGAGAATCAAAAATAATTTCCTCATAAAGATTGCCAAAATAGAGAAAGTAATGTGAGATAATTTAGGAATTACTTTGGATGGTTACCCCTGCTGTACATCGCATTTATTTGAGTATAGTCACTGAGGAAGTGATGGGGAGGATACAATTGCCCTCCCATAAGTTCATCCGTGTCCTTATACTGTCCACAACATGACTTTCTATCACAGAAGGTGCTTTGACTGTACTTGAACTTTTAGGATTGGCCTTTAGCCTCCTAAAATACCATTACTAAAGATGCCTTTCCCCAGGAATTTAGTCTATGTCATGTTCAAAATAGACATTTTTCTGGGACGGGAAAGATGGTTCAGCAGTTGGGAGTACATGCTGCTCTTGTACAGGACCAAGGCTCCTCTCCTAGCACCTACATGGCAGTTCAACAACACATGTTTTTAACTCCAGTTTCAGGGGATTCGATACCCTTTTCTCATTTCTGTGGGGACCAGGTAGTACGCATGTGATACACATACATACATTCAGGCAAAACATTCATACACATAAAAATCTTTAAATAGATATTCATTTTACTGAATATATATAATTTAATTAAAACTAACATAATGACAGAATAAATTCTATGTGGATTTTAAACAATATATATACATATAATGAGGTCTTTGAATTAGCATATTTTATATAGCCTTGTTTTCTTATCTATTGCACATATGAAAAATATTGAGTTGATTATGATGACTTCTCATTCTTGTCAGCTGTTTCCAAGGATCTCAATTCCCAGGGCAAAATGTATAGGAATTAATATCTTGATAATCTTTAGATACTTGAGAACATGTTTATGTATAATCTTATCTGAGAATGCTGATAGTATTTATAATTTCACCTAGTGCTCCTATTTGTCCATAGCATCAAATTAAATGGAAATAAGTTACATATGATTATATATAATAAGGTAATGCTAGTACACGTATATATAGTAAAATAAATAAAAGCTATTATTGTTAATAAACCACTTTTTTCTCAATTCTTGAGTATAGAAAGACACTTAATGCCTTTCATAGTTTTGAAAAGGCTGAGTGGAGAATATGAACAGCTCATTGATCTCTAGACATTTTTTAAATATTGAATAGAGAAAGCTCTGTAGGGTGTGCTACTATGAGACTCAATGTTGGGCATATTTATACAGTTTATTTTAATTAATGGTTGAATCTTCTCACACACACATATTGTTATCAGATATATTCATGGTGCTTAGTGTGGAATCATCTTTTAGTCTCCTGAAGTTGTATTGAGATTCAGAGATTAAAGTAACATCAAGCATATACTAAATGTAAAGTAAAAGAAAGAAATATTTAATGGGAAAGAATGTGAAATATCAAGTCCTTTAGGAAACTTCTTCACATCTATAAAGTAGAAGACTTTGTTTCACAGCTGTTATCTATGACAAATATTGACTTCAATACATGCTTTTAACCAGAGTCACCAGAATAGTGAGTACCAGTACAATAGACTAAGAAATACTTGTGCCACTTAAATTATGCTATCATGGTACACTGAGGGTGGGATGCTTTGTGATGGAAACTCATAAATTAGAAATTCCCAAAGGAACATAGAAGGGGAAGACTAGAAAACCAGAGGAAGTGGAATCATTGAAATAAATTTAAATAGTTGCCCTATGTAAGAGATCTCTTTTACAATTATTTTCTAAAATGTGAAAACCTGTCTATATAACATGGTTAGACATAGCATCATTCTAAAGATCATTGAGTAGGACTTTTATGGGGGGAGTGTTAATGCAGTATAAAGAAGACTTTGTAAACATGTAGAACTATCATGAGATAAACTAGTTTATGAAGTTAGATTAAAGAGATACATAAAATCATCTTATGTCTTAACAGATAACCAGGCAAGGCTGTTGTGGAATGTTACTGTAACTATGTAAAGGTGTGTTGCATTTGTTTGGTTGCATTTGTTTAATTCTGTAAAGATGTGTTGCTGTTTTACCTTGCCTGCCTAAGGCACCTGATTGGTCTAATAAAAAGCTGAATGGCCAATAGCTAAGCAGAAGAGGGATAGGGGTTGGCAGACAGAGAGAATAAGTAGGAGGAAGAATCTAGGTTCCAGAGAGAAGAGAAAAGAGAATGAGGAAGAAAGAGAGAGACACCCAGGGCCAGGCAGCCAGACACGGAGTAGGACATACAGAATGAAAGAAAGGTAAAAAGCCCTGAGGCAAAATGTAGATGAAAAGAAACAGATTAATTTGAGTTATAAGAGCTAGTCAGAGAAGTGTAAGATAAGACTGAGCATAAGATAACTAATAAGTCTCTATGCCATGAATTGGGAGTTGGTCCCAAAATCCTGCTACACAAGACCTCTATAAGGAAATACTTGGGTTGTGAGTCCAAAATCTTCAGAAGTCATTCAGGTGAAGAGGCAAGAGAGTATAGGCTCTATATAGGAGATAGAATACCAAACCAGTGAGTAAGAATAATGTACTTAGAAAGAAGATTTTTTCTCTCTAATTATGTGTACGTGTGTGTGTGTGTGTGTGTGTGTGTGTGTGTGTGTGTGTTTCTGAATGGATACTCGCACATGAGTATCGATGTCTGTCAAGACCAGAGGTGTTGGATGCTCTGGAGCTGGAGCTAAAGGTGGCTGTGAGCCACCTGCTATAGGAGCTGGGAATGGAGCGCACATTCTCTGCAGGGATGGAGCATTGTCTTAACTGCTGAACCATCTCTCCAGCCCGAGGCTATTGTACTTTAAGAACAAAATTAATGCCTGTGTAGATAGAAATTAAGAGAAGGAAAATTAACATAGACGAGAGAAATCAGAAAGGTAGCTAGGAAACAGATCGTAGTTGACTTGTATGCAGGGTAAAGAATGTGAGTTTTCCACAGACGCAGTAGAAGACACATGAAAAGCAAATGTGGCATTGGCATGAGTTTTGTTTTCCAATATTTTTTTTTTTTACTTGTTTTATATAGAATTGTTTCCCAGGACAGCAAAACGGTTCATGAGAGAGCTGAATAATAAAACAGAGATAGGATACATGGAAATCAGTGGGAAATGTTTTAGGATTTAGAAGCAATATGGCTTGATGATTTTTTTTAAACTGATCAGACACACACGACAGAATTATTTTTTGAGACACTGTCCCAAAAAATGTTTGACCTTTGATCCTTTGTTCTTTCTTTCCCACCCTCTCTCAGGCTCCTGGCTTCTCTCCCCATCTCTGAATATTGGGATGCTTATAAGGTGAAGATTAGCCATCATTAGTTTTAATAATGGTATTAAATACTGTTGATTCCAAGTTGGATCTCAATCTAGATTATTCTTAGACACTTGTCTGATTGCTGAGTCCCATTTGGATGTGCACATCTCAAATGACTCTGCACTATCTCAATGCCTAGATTGTTCTAGCTTAGACAGTGGCAACTCTGTTCTTTCAGTGACTCAGATTCAAAAGCTCAAGTCATTGTTGATTATTTCTTTTCAACATTTTATATCTTAGCTCATTTCCAGACAACTAATAAAATGCATTAGCCTTTCTTCCTTAGTATGTTTGGAGCCAGCCACCTCTTCCAGTCTGGTCCAAGGCATTACTATTTTATTTGGATTACTATCATAGTCTCCCGAGTGCTGTTTCTTCTTTCGAATCCTCTTACCCTCACCTTTTCTCAAGACAGAGTCCAGTTAAAGTCTACTACTGTGCCTGAGAACCCCCTTTGGTTTCTCTTAGAGGAAAAGCCAGCATGTTGAAGGGAAAGATTATCTAGGCACACAGCAAGTTCTAAATACAAGTCATTGGAATGGTTGAGTGTGGAGGAAAGACTCTGCCTCACAAGGGAGGAAGCCTTTTTAACATAGAAAGTTCTTTTGCATGTTAGCTGTTTGCTTCAATACTTGCTTTGTAATTTTATTACTGAACTCTTGTGTTGCAAGCTTCTGCTGACTATAGGACATTTGAAGTGTTCTATTTACTTCAACTATTTTAAATATTTTAGCCACAGTAGTTTGTAGATCCCCCCCCCCACACACACACACACACAGATGTGACGTTGTAACGTTAAATCCAAATTCAAAATAAGGATTTTCTAAGCCGGAAAAGGATTCTTCTCGCCTGTCACCTTCTTTGTTTTGTTTCCTACATACCTTGCAAGGAGAAACTTCTCCACCTTCTGATGAAGACTGTTGCATTTGAAATTACCAAAGCAGTGAGTTTCACAGCTCAGAGTGAACAACAGTAATAAAATTTGACATTAAATGTAGAAAACTTGTGAAATGAAAATTCGTCACAGAGGAATAGAAGATGGGATATTATGCTAGAAATGTAATTATGGATCTGTGTATCATGTATATCTTCTAGAAATATTTCTTACCCCTTTTCCATGGGTCTAGGAAACAAAACAGAATGAATGTACTGAGCAATATTCAGACTATTATTGTTTATGTCCTTTATTAAAATGAAAGCAATAATTTTGATCAGGAAAGATTTCAATATTAGAGCAAACAATTTTATGTTAAATATTTTATATCTCTTTTTTATAGTTTTCCTCCTTTTATTATATAATTAGTGCTGTAGTGTTGTGCATATGTGTATGCTTGTGTGTGTGTGTGTGTGTGTGTGTGTGTGTGTGTGTGTGTGTGTGTGTATGTGTAATAGCCCTTGTATGGAGGTCAGAGGATAACTTCTGGAGTTGGGAGTTAGTTCCTTCCTTCCACCATGCGGA